ACTTATATTTTGCAGAATTAATATTTACAAATACAGCAATATTGACCGGGAATAACATATTTTTCTCCAGCCAAGCAGATCATAAGTAGTACTGCCTCCCTTTCAATCTATGACCTAGTTTGACTCGCCATTGTTTAAGAAAAAGTTATTATTTATTCTCGAAATCGGATAACTGTCACACCCTTTTTATGCCCCAAAACGATAATGTGTGTTATGGATGGTGGTAGGTTAAAAAGTTTTTTCAATTAAAGTGACAATTTAAAATAGGAATTATTTTATTATTCAGAGTCGCCACTTGGAATTGATTTTCGGGTGTTCCAAGTCACCTTTTATTTGAATCCCTAGTCAAAAGAAGGTTTGACTTTATTATTATTGGTCTGCGAAAACAAAGTCCGGATAAGGAATTCTGTTGATCGGGGAGAAGGTGTAAGGCATTCCCCGAGTCCCGTAGTTCTAGCACGGTCGCTTTATTGACTACAACTTGACTTTGATTAAATTTGGATAAACTGTGATTTATTGGTTTCCATGTTTTATCTATCCGCTTTTAATTATTAAAATATGGAATTATCTTTGAAACGAATCACTTGTGTAAATCCATTTTGTTTATTGTGCCAAAATCATGTCTCGCGTAAGTGTACACAATTAATAATATTTTATTATACTAAGATTGTTTTGACCAAAGTTGCGCTAACGCATACTTCAATTTTAATTTTTGGAAATCATAACTATGTCACGCGAACGTGTACATAATCACAATAATTTATTTATTAATACGCGCCTAAAGAATACTAGCGATTATTAAGATTTATTTTTTAATTACATCAATTTTATTGTAAGACTAAAGTTATGGAAGAATATTGTGAGAAAGGTGAAGTAATTTAGTTATATGAGCTAGCTATAGGTAGACCCAATTAAACTTAAAGAAAGATCATTTCTCGTTATCATCCAAGAAGAAAGAAAGCAAATTCTCCTACCCACTTTATTAAAATAGTTTCATCTACAATTAGTGTCAAGTTCAATTATCATTGTTTTAAGTCTAAAGATGACCCATTAATATGGCACTTAACCCTTTAATTTTAAACAAATCTTATTCAACTAATCTATTTAGCACTTAACTTTATACCTTCAGAAGAAATCTAAAGCTATAAAAAGAGGAACAATTGTAACGAAGAAACCAGCGTAGCAAATCCTCACGTGAACTCTCATTTCCACATAAAGATACCAAGAACAATATTCAGCAATTTGAGCAAGAATCTCGTAACAACATCATCCGCAAACATTAACTCAAACATCATTCACATGATAATGAAGATAGAATTATAACATAATCACAGTAATATTTGATCCGGCTAAAATAAACATTAAGAACATTAAAATAATATATTTATGCCAGAACAAAAATAGTAGAACAAGAGATTTGACCTTTATTGCTAAAATTTCCAGCAGGTACAGTGAAGAAGAAGCTCACAAACAGTAATCCTCAAGCGACGCTAGGAACTAGAAACTCGAATCGGAATCGGCAACCCCGGACGGACTTAGATCAACTTAGTTCGGACTGTAGTTTCGGGCTGATTTTCACACTGATTTTTGAGGTTTGAGTGGTGGTGATAAGGCTGTTTAACGGTGAGCTTAGAGGTTGGTCTCAAGTTGAAAACGGAGTTATTTTAGTGAAGTTTTTTGCCCCGTTTCGCGGCTGGAACAGTGAAGTTTTATAGATATTATGTGACTGCCTTTTCATGGAGTTTTTAGCTCGAATTAGTGGAGCTTATGAGCTGGTTTAAGGGGGTCATTTTCGTTATCTTTTTTTTTTCTTTTTCTTTTTTTTGGTGACGTTTTGGCTAGTTTTATAGAGTTATTTTTTCTGCATTTGTTTTTTTAGTAGAAAACAGGGGTTGATTTGGGGTATTTTTTGGATGGATTTCGGGGGTTCTGTCCGCTTTTCTTGAATGAGGGACATGTGGGGGGTTGTGAGTGGGGGACCAACATGGGGGACAAGGGAAAGTGGAGTAGAATAAAGAGTGGGGGACAAGCATGAGGGCAAGCATGGGGGACAAGAGAAAGTGGAGTGGGGATAAAGTGTGGGGGACAAAGAGTGGGGACACGCGTGGGAAGATGTGAGCGAAAAATATTCAAGCACGGTAAAAAATTAGGTGCTCACAATAACAATTAAATTTATAAGTGATTTTAAAAATATGCGGATTAATTTGATATAAAGCGATAGATTAAGACAAATTGAACAAACAAAGATAAAATAGATTCAAATCACACAAGGAGGATAGTTCCAGCCTTATTGAAATATTTAAATATTTACCCTCAATCCGGGCTCGCTATGGTCAGCATTAATGAACAAGAGAAAAAACTAATAACAGAGAAAATAATAATATATTGCTTTGAAATGCGTGTTACAATGTGTTTAATGAATTATTTGACCCCTTTATATAGTAGGGAAATTTTATAGGTACAACTCTATAAAAGGTAAAAAAATCTTCTAATTAACTTATTGCCGGTTCTTCATCGAAATGTGTCGAGATCTCCGTCGTGATATCCGGCCGGTCACGGATATTACGGCCTTCCATTGGCCGTGCTCGATTGTCTAACAATGTTCTTCGAAATCGTTCAAGGCTAAGACCGATTCCGAACCGTGACCTGATATTCTCGAGGGCGTCATGCCCCCGAATTGTGACTCGATGAGACTTTTCCTCGATTTCGGTCCCCTGTCATCATGTCTCGAGTTTGGCTTATTTTTTCGAAGACCGGGGTGTACCATGAGCCCGTTTTTACCCGTATACATATACTTTTGTTGAGATTTGTAATTTTAAACATATCATAGTAATTGTGTGGCTAATACATATTTGAAGCTTATATTCTTAAACATTTCATAATATTTGTATGGTTATCAAGGGCGTAGTTAGAATGACGAAAGCGGGTTCGGTTGAACCCATTAGCTTTAGTTCGAGCCTTGTATTTGCCTTAAAAATTCTATTGAATACGTATAAATTATTAATTTAGCACCCAGTAACTTGAAATGATTAGAATTCCAAACTTATAAGCTTGAAATCATGGTTTCGCCTCTGATGGTTATAAAAACTTCTCATTAATGATAAAATGACTAAAATAAAATAGCAATATATCATTTTTTTAACAAGACTAATAAAAAAAATGTATGAGTACTACTTTTTACTGCTAGTATATAGTGTCACTGAATTTGTATCGATTCACATCCGAGCTATTATAACTTAGTCTTAGACTGACAGGATTGGTTGGCAAGACTTGCCGTGTGTATATCCAGTGATAGATCGCATTTGGTGGAAACTTTCACCTTTACTTTGAACAGTACATTTAGTTTTACTTTGCCCTTCAGTTTCACGTAAATATTGAGCGGCAATATTCCTTTTTCAACCACGTCCGAATACAAATTGGGATCCGAAGATAGCCGATCCGCCATTATTATCAGCACAAAGTTAATAGCTGTCGTGGTTCGGGACCCAATCTTCCCCGCCGGGACGTGAACATCTCCGAACTCTTCACCTCTGTACTCGATATAAGGGTTGATGTCTTCGTATTGGAAACTAACCCTGTTGGCAGAGACAGATCTAGAGTGTTAGAAGTGGATTTGATTGAACTCGTCGTTATCGGAATAGATCATTTATGTGTGTGTGAAAACTCTTACTAGTACTCCCTGCATTTTATAAGAAGATGTTTGATAGGCTACGGGGTCAGCCCGGTTTACTAAGTTGGGATCCGAGTAAGGGCCGAACCATAAGGGTCTATTGTACGTAGTCTTACCCTGCATTTTTGCAAGAAGTTGTTTCCACGGCTTGAACCCGTGACCATAAAATTTGAGAAATTAAAGAAGAATTTTGATATATAAGTCAAATATATATAAAGTACCAAAATTATCCTTTTACATGAGTCTCTCCTTAAAATTATAAGAAGAATTTTTATATCAAATGGGTCTCAACAAAGTCATACGGTAAATGAGGATACTATGATCAAAGAATTCCAAGAAAAGAAATGGATCATTTTATTTCAGATAGGCTAAAAGAAAGTGTATCAGATAAAATGGAACAAAAAGGAATATTAAAAATATTAATTTTTAATCCATACTTCTAAAAAATTTAGAATCTTGAATCCACTAAGTTTAAATCTTAAATTCTATCTTACCTGTTAGGATTGTAAATGGAGAGGTCGCCGCTCATGGTAATGTTAAGGAATACCTTGAACCTGGCCGCGTCGATAGACACGGTCAGGTCCTTGAGAGTCAAGGAATCGAGCGTGACAACAGGACGCTTGGGTCTCAAAACAGTGAAATTCAAGATGGCAAAGGTTATAACCAGAATAATATGGGCGCATAGAACGAGCATGCATATTTTCCTTCTTCTCTTGTGTTTACGTGCGTATTTACAATCCGCAACGCTATATCTACTCTCTGGAGTTGATTCCATTTCCATTTGTAAAATTCTACTACTACTGCTAATTTCTTCTCTCATTTTGATTGTGCATGGTAAGATGATCGAGCAGTATTACTATTTATAAGTTGAGGCTTTAGAATAGTAACCCAAAGCCTACATAATTAATTATTTAGGCCTAATTTCAACGCGCAAAATTTAATGGCTTATTTTTAAAAAGCCAGCTACACTAATTGTCTACGTTTAGCATGGACAATAACCTAAGAATAAGATAGATAACAGTATCTAGGTGGTTTACTAGTTATGGAATGCTAATTTTGGTAAGCTGCAACTCTATGCCCTAGGGGACAAAAAATAACAAAAAAAATGATATTTTTTTACGCAGAAAACTATTATGAGAACATTAATTTGAGGCTGGACAAAAAATAAATTCTAACTCTAGCTACAACGAAAATGAATTTGCCTAGCGATGCTATAATCATTTATGTATATGGTAAAATATGATATGACACATGAGCGTATATAGGGAGGACACGTAGAACCCAAGACGGGAATGGTCAAAGACCGGACGCAGTCATTCTGCTTGTCACCGGAAAGGATAACGTTCATAAATGTGTGTTAAATACTCTGCGTCCGGTAGCATTTAATAGGGCATATTCTGCAGCATTAAGAGCGACGGTCCGTTACAAAAAATTTGACATTTATGTTCACTGTTACGTCTTCATCAATGACCCTCATAATTGACATTAAAGTAGGACACGATCATATGACCTCCTTCCCTATACATTGCTATAAATAGTAAGCTCAGTTATCATTGTAAAGAATAAGAATTTTCTGGCAAAACTTATATTGTATTCTATACAACGCCTAATACAATCTTATTTTCTTGCTCTATGATCTCATCATTGCTGGAAACCTTATTCCTCGAACTGTCATCTCTGCTATTTCATCAACATTTCAAGGCTAAGTATTATACATTTATTCAATTATTGTATTATTTCATAATTAAATTAGTTCACTTGTCTAGAAATCACGTACAAATTCATCTGTACCGTTTTATGGGTAAATAGTTTGGTGCCCACCGTGGGGCCTAGACAGACGTGCAATTAAATTGATCTTTGCTTTTTTTTACTAACGCAGTTTGATTATTTTAACAAAGAAAAAATCATTAAAAAAATGACAGATAACACTGTTAACAACACGCACAACCCTGAAATTCGAGGGGGTCAGCCTCATTTCGGGAATTCAATCAGTGGCACTCGCAATGAGGAACATGACGCGGATGCGGTGAGGGTCCTGCGAGAACAACAGGCAATTATTCTAGGTCATCTCACGCGATAAGATTAGGTTATGACGGAACTGAAGCAGGCACTGTCGGGGGCTTCAAATAATGCAAACATACGAGATCCAATTCCTCCCAGTGTGCCCGCAAACCAAACAACGCAGAGAGTCGAAATCAATACTCCCAGGGCGAAGTTGGCTCTAACGGGGTCGGGGGAGTAGATCTGGTCTCAACAACGAGAACGGCCCGTTCAAAATGAACTTTTACGGTTTATGAGGGAAGTAAACGCCAGCATGGACCAAATCCTGGACGCGCCACCAATATTGAAAGGCCCGGACTCGAAAAAGTATACTCAAATGTCGTATAAGCCGAGCGCGACACCAGAACTAATTCCGAAGCGGTTCAAAATTCCTGAAGTGACGAAGTAAGACGGGACTTCAGACCCACATGAGCATATTACCACTTATACAATGGCGGTAAAAGAAAATGATATAGTTCCCCATAAAATTGAATCTGTGTTGCTAAATAAATTTGGAGAAACTCTCACGAGGGGAGCCGACAAGAGTGGGTTGCTCCAGTAGTAAGCACCCTCCACTTCCAACCAAGAGGTTGTGAGTTCGAGTCACCCCAAGAGCAAGGTGGGAAGTTCTTGGAGGGAGGGAGCCGATGATCTATCGGAAACAGCCTCTCTACCCCAGGGTAAGGGTAAGGTCTGCATACACACTACCCTCCCCAGACCCCAATAGTGGGATTATACTGGGTTGTTATTGTTGTATTATTGTTGTCTCACAAGGGGAGCCCTAATGTGGTATCCATTATTACCCGAGAATTCTATAGATTCCTTTGAGATGCTCGCGGATTCTTTTATCAAGCCTCATGCGGGTACCACAAAAGTACAATCCCGGAAGGCCGACATATTCAGGATCGCACAGGGAGAATCCGAATTACTGCGAGAGTTCGTTACCCGATTCAAGAAAGAGAAAATATTCCTCCCGGTTGTCCCGGATGAATGGGCAGCTGAAGCATTCACCAAAGGATTGAATCCGAGAAGCTCAGACGCTTCCCGGAAGCTGAAGGAGATCTTGCTTGAGTTCCAAGCAACAACTTGGGCAAATGTCCACAACCGGTACGAGTCAAATATAAAGATCGAAGATGACCAGGTTGGTTCCATATCATCAGCCAAAGGACGGTAGAAGAGCGGAGAAAAATCAAAGGATGACTACGACGCGGACAGACAGACTTCGAGGGGCCAGTTTTTGCCCTACGAGCGGACCGAAGGCTGTGGAAGAAACTTTTGGGCAGCAAATAAGTTTATCATTGACAGAGGGATCGATCGTGGTCGAAACAATAGATCACTCCAGGATAAGGTGATGTCGGGGTCTCGGGATCCTTCTTAACCCAAGTTATCGGAATATAACTTCAATGTCAGTATGGTGGAGTTGGTGTTAGCCATAAGAAACATTAAAGATGCACGATTCCCGAGACTTATAAGATCTAATTCCAGCCAGAGAAATCCTGACTTATGGTGCAAGTACCACGGGACGAACGGTCATCGGACAGGGGACTGTCTGTGCCTTCGGGGAGAAGTGGCTATACTATTGAAGAATGGCAACCTCCGAGAATTCTTGAGTGAACGAGCTAAGAACAATTATGGTCATATCAAAGACAATGTGGAACCTTCGAAAGCAGGAGAAGAACCCACACGTCAAACGATCAATATGATCTTCGGGGGAATGAGATTAGCGGGGTCACCTTTTCGGCAGCAAAGAAGACAAAAGTATCAATAACTCATAGTAAAAGACTCTGGGAAGACGATATCACTTTTATGGAGGAGGACGCAAACGGATTGTTGTTACCACACAACGATGCACTGGTAAATTTCTTTAAATCTGTTAGATTTTAAGATTAAACGTGTTCTAGTGGATCTAGGAAGTTCGGCTAATATCATACAATAAAGAGTATTGGAGCAAGCTAAACTCACCGGAAGCATTATTCCGGCAATAAAGCTCATCGCCAGATTCAAGCTTGCAAATATGACGACCCGGGGAGAGATTTTGCTACTCACGAATGCTAAAGGAGTAATGAAAACAACTCTCTTCGAAGTAGTAGATGGTGATATGGGATACACCATCATCCTGGGAAGGCCATTGTTACACGAGATGATAGTTGTACCCTCAACATATCACCAATTGCTGAAGTTTCAAATGCCCGAAGGAATCAAGCAGAAAAGAGGTGATCAAGCGGAAACAATGGAGATAAATTCAATCATAATTTCCAGTAGCAAAGGGAAGGAACGCACGGCATAGCAATTACAGGAACCGGCACATATTCCTGAGCTGAAAGAGTTAGCCCGGAGGTGGAGCTGTCAGAACAATATCAGGTGCCAAGATATTTCCAAATTCCAGAAGAGACGGACGTAACGAAGTCCACGGCGGTGTAACTGGAGCAAGTTGCATTGTTCGAGGAATTCCTGGAAAGAAAATTCCATCCGGGGACAGGACTGCACCTGGAGCTCATGTCTGGTTTTATTGAATTCCTTAAATTTAATGCTGATTGTTTTGCATGGTCGCACGAGGATATGACCGGTAATATCCGTGCACAAGATGAGTTTGAATCCCAACGTATCTCCGATAAGGCAGAAGAAACGCCCCATTGCCGAGGCCAGGAATAAATTCGTCAAAGAAGAGGCAACTCGCTTGCTTAAAATCGGTTCGATCCGGGACGTAAGATATCCGAACTGGCTAGCCAATGTAGTAGTAGTTCCTAAAAAGAACAATAAATTTCGCATGTGTGTAGACTATAAAGACCTTAATAAGGCATGCCCAAAAGACTCGTTCCCACTGTCAAATATCGATCAAATGATTAATGCCACGGCCGGGCACGAGTTGACGAGTTTTCTCGATGCTTATTCCGGGTACAACCAAATAAAGATGAACCCGGAAGATCAGGAAAAAACTTCATTTATAATGAATTTCAGTACATATTGTTACAATGTAATGCCCTTCGAGTTGAAAAATGCCGGAGCCATTTTACGAGCGAGCCACTTATCAACGACTCGTAAATAAGATGTTCGAAAAGCAAATCGGAAAGACTATGGAAGTTTATATAGATGACATGCTCGTTAAGTCTTTGAATGCATGTGACCATCTTAAGCATTTGTAAGAAACATTCAACATCCTGAGGAAACATAACATGAAACTTAATCCCGAGAAGTGTGCGTTCGGGGTTAGTTCTGGTAAGTTTCTAGGATTTCTGGTCTCACAAAGGGGAATTGAGGTAAACCCCGACAAAATCAAAGCAATAGAGGATATCCCGGATCAATTATCGAACGTAAAATAAGTCCAAAGGCTCACAGGGAGATTAGTAGCTTTGAGGAGGTTCATTTCCTGGTCATCGCTTCTTCACACTGCTCAAAAAGAAGAAGAATTTCTAATGGATGCCAGAGTGCCAGCAGGATCTGAGGGATCTGAAGAAGTACTTATCGAGCCCTTCATTACTCTCAAAACTAAAAGAAGGCAAAACATAGTAAGTCTACCTCGCGGTTTCAGAAGTTGCGGTAAGTGCGATTTTAGTCCGGGAGGATGAAGGTACGCAATTTCTCATTTATTATGTTAGCAAAATTTTAACGGGAGCAGAAACTCGCTACCCATATTTGGAAAAACTGGCCTTAGCTCTCGTAGTCGTCGCTCAGAAGCTAAGGCCCTACTTCCAGTGTCACCCGATAGCTATAATGAATGTTTTCCCTTTGCGGAACATCTTCCATACACCCGAGCTCTCGGGCATATTGACCAAATGGGC